TGACCGTTGAAAGTCTGAAGTATGCTACCCAACCTCAGTGGCAAGGCTGCGCTGCAGGAATTCAGGGCAAACTAAGCAATGAGGATATAATGGGAGAACGTCATGCCTATGATTCTCTGGGTCCTCTTAGCAACCCTGAGGGAGGGGCAGGGCAGCTACTGTGGTTCTTATTCTATAGGCGTTGAAGTGAAATCCAGGGAGATGGGTGACTTGTCTAAATCCCCCAACTCACAGTGGGCAGAGCCAAAACTAGGCCTTGGTTTGCCGATTCCTAGCCTGGTGCGCAGCCAGGGGTACAGATGGCCCAGGGACAGTGACTCTATGGAGATGTCCTCATTGGTACCCACTGCCTACCTGTCCTCCCCAAATAGAGAGGAGGGAGAAAGGAGGGGCAAAGGAAAGGAAAGGAATTACCCAGCACACGGGGGAGACGGGAGACGGGTGCTCTGAGCGTTTGCAGCCACTCAGGAATGTGTGGAAGAAGGAAGCGTGCTAAGTAGGAAACCAGGCCCCTTCCCTTGCTCCCTCCCACCCCACGACCTAGTGCTGCTCTTCTAGGAGCCATCAGTTCAAGAACGTGCCCTTCAGTAAAGCTGTTCTCAGAAAAATCTCTTGTCAGCCATCTACTCGTGGGAAATAGGCAAGCTCGTGCGTGATCTATGGACAGTCCTAAGCGTGGCCCTAACTCTGGGGAACTTTGCCTTTGTAGGGATGTGACAAGAAAGCCATGGTGTGGGACATGCGCTCTGGCCAGTGCGTGCAGGCCTTTGAAAAACACGAGTCTGACATCAACAGTGTCCGGTCAGTGAGTAGAATATTCACACTCCTTGTCCCTTCTGCAGGCTCTCCCTGGCCTTGGTGCTCAGTTCTTAGCTCGGGACCCTCCTCAGGCTCTGCTTACTTGACTGAGAGAGGCTTCCTCTGATGGGGACTGACGCATTCGGGGTCTCTTGGAGAAGGTCACCCGTCTCCCCACCATGAGACTTTGTGCTCAATAATCGTTCGAGGAAGTCAATGAAGTACAGTGAACCCTCGTTTATCGCGGTTAATCGGTTCTAGACCCTACCGTGATAAATGAAATTCC